CGGACAAAATGGATATTTTCTTTGAAATATGGTGCCCAGAATTTTCGTGATTACAATGCTTCGTTTATTTCGTACAAGGAAGTAAAGAAGCAAATCCAAAATGTCGAAATTTATGTTTGATTGTGAAATTTGAGTGCCATAATTGGTTACCAAATGCAGTGAAACAGGGTATGCCTATCCTAGTCCCAAGAAAACACCCCTGACAGCAACCAATATTTCTGAGAACGTAATTAAATGATTGTTAGATATTCTCATTTACTGGAAACTTCGTAATTGTCTGAGAGAGATTTCTCTAATGTAACTTCTCATGATGACCATTTCCGAAAGAGATTAGCACTTCTAGAAATTAAACAAGCATCGGGATTGGATATTATCAACAGTAGTCTTCTGTAAGCGGAGCACCTTTACAGAAGAGTAAAATTGTCTCGAATTCTGGGTAGTCGTTTTAAAAGATTTCTTCGGTGAAGCATTTTATAGCAACTATCTCCGAAAATGACCAGTATTTCCTCTACGTATAACCAACTCTGATGGCCAGTATAGCTAATGTACCCATCGGTATTGGACATCACCAATAGTCATGCTTATTAAAGCCATAGGTAAAAAAGTCAGCTGTAACCGTTCGGTGATCATTTTGAGTAAGATTGTATGTTTACATTCTCGGATTTATTTACTGTAACGAATTTTGTATACATGTAAATAATTTCAGTGAAATTACATGTTAATTGTAGTAGCTTTTATTTAATGTTACATGAAAGGCCTCTGATATCTTCACATTGAGGTTATAAGATATTTTTCCCGCCTTCTTAGCAAGCCTTCGTGGTGTAGTGGTCTGCACGCTCGGCGCGTAATTGAGAGGTTCGCGGTTCGATTCCCGGCGAAGGAGTTACTTATTTTTAATTTTGCACGCTTCCAAAAATACCTAATGTCTCTACAATGGCGCACGAACTAAAAGGGTCTTGGATGATGATTCTCCTCACCCAGGATTTGGCGATTAGGTCCCCCCCTAAAAAAAAAAAAAAAAAAAAAAAAAAAAAAAAAAAAAAAAAAAATCTGAAATGTTTCAGATTTTAAATTACGTCCAAAGGGGCGTTTTTTAACATTTTGTGTGTTACCTTTCTTTATTAAATATCATGTTCCTCGCACTTAAACCATAAGATCCAGTGCAACAGCAATATCGCAAAATAGTTTTAAAACGAGCATATCTTTAGAATTTCCGATACAGAGACTCACGCGCTGGAGATAAAAATGTTTTTTTCTGCACAACGTTGCCATTGCTCGCTTTGAAATCCTTGAGTTTGTTAATCAAAAATTCGTCAAAGTTTTAAAAAATAGGAAATCGATCATAAAACAAATTTCAAATTTCAAATTTGGTCTTCCACATGCTCATATTCGTTGGAGGATTACGTTATTCAAAATTCGATGACTCTATGTACCGTTATTTTATGACAATGCGAGAAAATATACATACATTTACGCAGATTTTCATTATTTATTTTCTTCAAATATAATGCAGGACTCTAACATTTTATGGCAACAGTTTGAAAAGTGAACCGACATTTATGAGTCCGACGCAAAATGCCAAAACGAAACTAATAGTCCTTCGGGATTCAAATCCCTTTGGACTAAAAAAAAAAAAAAAAAAAAAATCTTCCTTTAAAAGGGGGAGTATATAAGGTATTTCTCCTGCCTTCGTGGCGTAGTGGTCTGCACACTCAGTTCGTATATTTCCAGTTGCAAAAGTGTTTTCAATGACGAAAATGGTCATTTTTTGGCAATGCCAAATTAAAAAAAAAATTTGGATAAATAACGGAATCTAAGATCGCAATAAAAGTTAGATTATTGCGGAACCGGAAGACCGCAATAATCTAAATTTTATTGCGGTCTTCCGGTTCCTATATTAATATTTGCGAAAGTTTCATTCTTGTTTGCGAAAATGTATAAGAAGTTTGACTGTCGTACGGCAAAAATTGAGTGGGATATTTAATTTCAGAATTTTCAGTTTTTGATGTCATTTTCGACTTGCCTCGAGGCTTCGTTAATTAAGTTGCATAATTCGAGGAAGAAAGTTTCAATAAACTGCAGGAAAGATATGTAAAATTGAATATATCGTACAGGGAAATCATGTAGTGTCCATATCAGATTTTTTAATGATATTATACTACCATCTAGGTTTTTCCAAATTAATTATTATGCCTAAGCCTGAGGCTATGGTTCTCCAGTAATAATTAAATTTAGAAAACGAACTAATGTTTTTGTTCTTTATTGTCATACCAAACGCTGGATGCTTTTCCCCCAAAAAACAGAATTTTTTAAGAGAATTATCCCCTCCGTAAGATATTTGAAAAGAAAAATAAGCTGTCTGTGACTCAAAGAGTAATAAGAGAATAAGAGGGAAAAAAAAAGAACAGTTTTAAACTTAAAAAGGAAAGCTACCAAAATATATGACAACATAATTTACTTTTCCCAAACAATGCCTTTCTTTTATATTGGAACGAAATTTAATATGCATAGTCGTTTTACAGCTCTTCTATAATTTATTTTCGAAGCGTGTAATTTAGAAGCAAATAAATTCTGTTAATTTTCTACAATTCTAGCTTTTACTGAGAATTTCCATCAGTTTTTACGCTATAATACGCATCGAGTATTTGCTATAATTGTCTGGGAGCGGAGTAATGTGTAAATAAGTTGTTTTTGGTTTTAACAAAACTGACTTTTTCGGAAAGATAACAGAAAACTTCCAAAAACGTTATTTGAAATAAACCGCTCTGATTCAAATGTATAGTTTGTCTCCCCCTAAAAAAGCTGATAATTATGTATTTTAATTTTACGAATTAAACTTAAATATTTATTCATGGTTTTAGAACACATAATCGTAACGTGACGCACTGCTATTTAGTTGTTTCAAACAAGAATTATAAATATATAAATGTGATTACCTTATAAGATATTTCTCCCGCCTTCCTAACGCGCCTTCGTGGTGTAGTGGTCTGCATGCTGGGCGCGTACTCCAGTGGTCAGTGGATCGATTCCCGGCTAAGGCGTTGCTCATTTTTCAATTCTCTTGCTTTCAAAAATACCTAATGTCTCTACAGTGGCGCCCGAACTAAAAGGGTGGTGGATGATGATTATCCACACCCAGGAATTGGTGACTAGGTCCCCTAAAACCCCAGTCGCCCTTTAAAAGAGGGAGTATACATAAGGTATTTATCCCGCCTTCTTAGCGTGCTTTCGTGGTGTAGTGGTCTGCATGCCGGGTGCGTATTCCAGAGGTGCATGGTTCGATTCCCGACGAAGGCGTTGCTTTTGTTCATCTTTACTGCTTCCGAAATACCTAATGACTCTACAACTTTACGAATTCATAGTGATCTTTTTACTGATTACGCCAGATGAAAAGGAAGAAATATACATTTTTCCCCTTGTATGAAGTAAAAAAGGTAGTATTGTAATCACGAAATTTATTACAGTGGTTAAACAGGGGAAAAACGGGATGCGCTCCTCAATAAAGGAAGAAAAACATGCCCGCGGAAGTCGCGGGATGAGCAAATTTTGCTACATTTAAGTTGCCAATGGAACTCGCGGGATGATAGCCAGAGGGTTAAGGAACACGCATTGCCATGTTTAAATTGTGTGTACAGGTAGGGGTAGATAACTTCCAGCGCCTCTTCTAATGCACTTTCCGTTTTCAAACACGGTATGTCATGTAAGAATTAGATTTTGTTTCCTTTTATTATAGGGCTTTTATCACACTTTTCCCGTATCCTCTTTCGATTGAGGCCCTGTATATAGTTTTACTTATGTAAAAATGTAAAAATTTGCTCTTAAGTTTGGTATTTAAAACATTTTCTACACTTTGTTTTGTTTAATTTATAAAACACGTTAAAAATCATCTGAATAATTTATTTTTGAATTTTTTAAGGGGAGGAATGATCTAGCAGGGGTGAAAGAGGTGCGAGAGGCAAAAATGGTTCATAACACCCGCTCTAAAACAGTAGCTCCCTACAATAATCACGACTCTGAACTGACTGACTTTCAGCAACAAAGCAGTCGTATTTATATTCCTGGGCCGGTTTTCTGGAAGCTTCGAGAAAAATCGTTCTTTGTGCTTCAAAAATGCATTTTCATGAAACTTAAAAAAATATTGATTATTTGGCGATACATTTCTGCACATCGCCGAGATTTTTCAGGAGAGTTTCTGCCGATACCTCAGGTTGGAGCTATTTTCACGTTTCATAAACTGAATTATTTGAAATAACTCTATTCTAAAATACATTGCAAAAATAAACAATAAAAAAAATAGGTGCCGGCCAATTTCATGAAACGAAAATACAAGCTGAAGTTTTTATTTAAAATATATTAAATTCATAAATATGTAAATAAGAACAATGCATTATAAAAATGCGTAAGAAATCAAAATAAAATTAAATAAACATAAATACTTATATTATAAGGTATTTCTCCCACTTGTCTAGCGTGCCTTCGTGGTGTAACGGTAGCACGCTGGGCCGGTATTCCAGGTGGCAGGTAACAGGTGACGGAGGACGGGGACACCGCCGGTATTCCAGAGGTCCGTGGTTCGATTCCCGGCGAAGGCGGTTTGCATATTTTTCATCTTTTCTGCTTTGCTTTCAAATCCTAATGACTCTACAAGTGGCGCCCGAACCAAAAGGTTTGTGGATGATCATTCTCCGCACTTAGGATTTGGGGACTAGGTCCCCTAAAACCCTAGTCGCGCTTTAAAAATTGGAGTATATAAGGTATTTCTCCCACTTCTCAGGCGTGCCTTCGTGGTGTAACGGTAGCACGCTGGGCCGGTATTCCAGAGGTCGTGGTTCGATTCCCAGTGAAGGTGGTTGCATATTTTTCATCTTTTCTGCTTCCAATTGACCTAATGACTCTACAATATAAGGTTTCAATAACATTTTGAAGTAATTAATAATAATTGCTCAATTAGACATATTTTTGTTTACTGAAATATGTTTATATATTTCATTTTGTTTCAGGTTTTCCAGACATCTGAAAGCGCAGCAAGAATCAAGATTCATGAAGTATAAAATATGAAACTTTTGGTTTTTAATTATCGTCTGCAATATATTTAATTCTTTGCTGGTAAATATGGTTGAAAGTTTCACCTAACGCTTAAGATAATACGAAGTTAGCTTTTAATTCATTTCAAGATGAATATGTCTGGTCCTACGATTTCGCCATCGTACATATCCGATTTAGAGTGGAGTTGCTACTTCCACCCCAATGAATCTGACAGCAATCTCACCTGCCTCTACGAACCTGAAATGCGTGAGCCCAAGGATCCATCCTATTATTCCCTTAAGTACCAGATTGTTGGAACTGTATTCCAAGGCATTGTCCTCATTGTGGGCATTTTGGGAAACATCATGGTTGTCATCGTCGTTACACGTACTCGTAGTATGCACACTCCTACCAACTGTTACCTGGTGAGCTTGTCCATCGCAGATTTTATGACTCTTATAGCCTCGGTCCCGAATGAAATACTTGCATACTATCTTCTTGGAGACGAGTGGATCTGGGGACGTGTCGGTTGTGCCATTTTCATCTTCCTCCAGTATCTAGGCATCAATGTATCCTCGTTATCCATAACCGCTTTCACAGTGGAAAGGTACATAGCCATATGCCACCCGATGAAGGCCCAGATAGTGTGCACAGTTAGCAGAGCAAAGAAGATCATAATATTTGTCTGGATCTTTGCTTGTTTATATTGCAGCCCTTGGTTGTTTCTTACCAAAACGAAACCTTTACATTACAAAGGTGTTCAAGATCGAGAAACCTGCACGTTTGCTCTTTCGCGACAGAACTACTTGGGGTACTTTTTTGCTGACTTTATACTCTTCTACATCTTTCCTTTGCTGCTTTCATGCGTCTTGTACGGGCTGATTGCCCGGGTATTGTTTTCAAGGGACATACAGAAGAACTCTGATGGAAAATCGAACGGGATGGTCAGTCCGCAAGAGTCTAAAACGTCCTCGACGAATGGAACCAGTGCAAGAGCTCAGGTAAGAATGTTATTTTTTTTAACTAGATGGACTTTTGCTGGTGGCCAGTAACATGTCGGCTAAAACCTGGTTCAATAAGAAAAAGTATCAATATGATAGTAAAATATAAATCCATGTTTTGAAGATTAACGTCATTTCATTGTTACTGGAATTATTATTTAGATTTTCCTTTGAAACTTATTCAAAGTATGGTTGTGGTATGTTCTGCCGATTTTTGAAACCTTTATGAAAAAGCCGTTTAGTGACTGAAACTGTACTAAAACTGTTATCTGTATAGTAAAAGGAAAGTTTACTTACTTAGCTGAAGGAAGATCTAAAACTACCAGAGAACTCATTAAAGATTATTATTTATTGTGGCAATGTCTTCTAACTTTAAAAATTTTTAGACTTAATTAGCTCCATATACTAATTGTTAAATAAGATGTACCCTCACGCATGTGCTATTTTATTATACTAGTATCTTTAGTTTAAAATTGAACATATTTAGACCGAATTGAGTGAAATATGATGATGAGTTCCTTAGAGCCTTCTTAAAACTTTCGGTCCTGCTGGTGGCGTTTCATCGATAGGTAGTCATTGTTTTACTGTTCACCGCCTGAGGTCACATTTTGTGGCTTCTTCGCGTGTATTTTGTCATCCGTCTTGTTGATATTTGCTTTTGATCGTTTGTTGTGGAACGATTATGCAGGGTGTATCAGCATAGCTGACATACACACCGGACGAAGGACTACCGTTCCCAGGTCCTCATTATATGGGACCCATCCAGAGTTTGGGGTATTCCCCGTCGGTGGGACCTAATTCTCGCGGGCGCAAGCCCCGCCCGGCTTTTACAAGCATTGGGCAGCACCATAGTCGTTGCAAGTAATCACGCTGTCACCTTGCCGCCGGGCACCTCGGTTTTAAGTACAAAGTAAAGAAGACACCCGAGTCACAGAGCCAGCATTACTGAGATACGTTTAAAAAATGCATACATTCTGTCTTTTTGACATTTTAGATATTACAAGGTTTAAAAAAAAAAAGGTGAATGTTATGAAATTTAGTCAGTTTTCTTGGAAAAGTCGTCATTTCAACGTTAGAGCCGTGAAAGTTGAAAATTTGAAAAAATATATGTGTTTCTGAATAATAAAGATTTTAAAATCTTAAATAAAATGGGGTAATTGTAAAAGTTTCAGCATCATATTTCACGAAAATATCCATTTTGACCGCTTCGAATGCAATTAACGATTTTTTGCCTGACATCTGTAGTTAAGGGCAGAAATACTCTTTTTTTCCGAAAAAAATATAACTGCTTAAACGAATTCTACCCGAATTTTCGTGGTTTGTCTGCTTCTTGTACTACCTACTTCTCGATAACTAAAACGAGTAGCCTCAGAACGTTGAAATTTTGAATATAGGCTGCATAACCGTATATGTGCACCTCATATTTTGGTTGCCATTGGCCGCACCAAACGTATATATATATATCCACTCTGTTACACGGCGCAGTAATCTCAGTTTCTTTACTCTTATATGTTAGTAAGTTGTGCATTCTTTCCTTTAAAAATGATTGAATTATCTTGCTTTCATCTTCCGGTTAAGGGTTTTGGGCCTTTACTAAATCTGCATGCAATATTTTTGGAATTATAAACAATTTAAAAGTTGTTTAAGTGCAGCTAAGCCGAATTAATTTTGCGATGGCGGACATGTTTATTTACATTTCAAACTTTGGAAATAGCGGATTGTTGCCAAACTAGTTTCGCAATAAGAAGATAAGCCTTTTATTATGCGAATTATGTTTAATCAATTCAAGAATTTATTCGAGAATAAGTGTTAAAATTTACTTCGTAGCTTTTTAATCTAGATATTTTGAGTTTTTTGTATTTTTTTTTCAGAAGTGAGACCAAAATTAATTGATTGAGAATATCTGACTGCTCTTGTTTTTTTGTTAATTTCTTTTATATATCGTTTTTAGATTTATTCTTTGAATAGCATGTGGCCGAGTCGCTATTCTTGAAAATGATATAAATGTTTTGAATTCTGAGTTATAACATGAGAAATGTAACGCTGTTAAGTGAACCTAGTGCCAGAGTGTCGCTAGGGTAAACAAATACTGCGAATTTTAAAAGAGTGCATTTACTGTATTGTGGTTTATGCGCTATCAAAGAAGTAGATTTAATTGAATCCAATGAGTTTATATGGAATGCAAGGAAAATTGCATATAGTTGAATATTCCGTACAAGGAAGTCATGCGGTGTACAAACCAGATTTGTTTCTGTAAAAATTGTAGAACTAAAAATTATGTACCACCAGTGGCTTTATGTACCACAATTTGAGAAACGGTGGTCTAAATTGTCTGTGGAAGCAACAAACACAAAAATGTAAAATATTAACTTTATTTTCTCACTACGTGCGACTTAAAATAGCCTAAACATAAAATAAGTCTCCTAGGCTTGCAGTACGAATATGTAACCGGCTACAAGACCACTGTACCAATCGAAGCTATAAATGACAGCTGAGTCGAGGAAACCCAGTTTAATTAATTTCACACGTAGCAAGACCCGTGCTTGATATTATTACTTTTATGATTACTTTTAATTTATGGGTAGTTTTCACAAGGCAAGGCGGCTGCAATAGCAACAGCAATAAAATCTACTATGGGGTGGGAGTATGCAGGTTACGATTCTTCCTCTCAATTTAAAATACAATGCTTGCTCTAAAAATCTGCATAAATCTCTGAGATGAGGAAGCATGTGACGAAATGTGCTATAAATGTCAACTCGAAAATAAGATCGCGAGCAGTGTTGCCAGAAAATTTTCAACTAAAGTAACAATAGCAGACTCAAAAAGTCGCAAATGACGTCGGAGATCAAGTGACGTCATAATTACGCATGCTTATATTACCTCTGACGTCATCAACAAATTTCGGTAAGTTACAGATTGTATTCGATCCTTAGTTCTTTTAATTACGCAAATTAATTAACGAAAATTGAACGAAACGCTTTAACGAAAATTTTAAAACTATATTGCTCATTTTCAATTGTTTAAATATCTATTCCTTTTGCATGCCTTCTCCTTTTTAGATTTCTTTTTTTAACTTACCTTGTTACCTATTTCTCACGTTAGATTACTCGCGTTTGTACTAATTTTTTGGCTGGCAGTTATTTTTTTATGGGGTTTTGTTCATTTAAGTGCACCAGTTCCTGCCGATCTTTTTTGAGTTTCCGTTTGGGTGGGGACTCATTCAGATTCTGATTTCCGACCCGTTGTTTGTTCTTCGCTGCTATTTTGTTGTATTTGAAAATGGCAGTGCTTTCATTTTTAGCCTTTGTTAGCACTGGAATCAGGTGGATGAATTTTATTTTTTTTCTCTATTTGGGTACCGAATATATGGTGCGCAAGCTGCAAGTCTTTTTGTTAGATTCGTTATCACAATAGAGGTCCCACCAGCGACCGAGCGGTAACCTCGCTGAACACGGTAGTTCGGTCCGAGGTTCGAATCTCGCGAACATGCTGCATGGTGTTTTCGTGGTTTTTCCCATATGTAACGTGTATAAGAGTCAGTTTCCCTTAAAAAGTCCTTCAAGAAGGCATCCCTCCCTTATGGCAGATAGCCCTCGAGTGCTTTGCCGTAATCTAATAAACAAACCCAACCAAACCCCCCGTATCCCAATAGAAATGAGGGCCCGATGTCTAAAAAAAACAAATTTGTAGGCTCTAAACATGAATATTTATTAAGTTACATAATTCTGTATTTTACAAAAGCTTTACGATATATTAAAAAAAAAAACTTTGAAGTCGCAAAACGTAGTTTTGCGGCTACGGGTTCGTTTATGAAATGAATGCCAAGTCCGATGAAAAAATGAACAAAAATTTTTTATTATAACAACAAACTTGCTTCAATGTTCTCAAATTATCATGCAGTATTACAATATCTCCAGTAGTTATCTTTTAACTACTCAAAGGTCCAATAGAACGTAATTCAAAAACAGCTAAAGAAAGCTTAATCCGCGAATTCGCTACAACAAGAGCAGTTTTCTAAAACAACAAAAAATAAGCAACTAACTACGAACTGAGAGGTTTTCCTCCTTTTATAAGATTTTAAAATCACGCGCTAGATTTTCTAGTACTTTCTCGAAATCGAAAAAGAGATATTATTTATTTAATGCACGCGCTCTTGTATTTTTTCAATTTTCCGGCTTAGCTTTCTTAATTTCTCACGCGCTGCACTGCGCGAGAAATAAAACTATTTAATTTATAATTGAACTAACATTAGCTTTTTAAATACCAAATTCGTAACAGTAGCATAAGGAAACGATGGAGGTCGCAAAAATTTCGCAAATACTAAAATTTTAGTAGCACAAGTTTGTCAAAAGTCGCTGATTTGCAAGATCTGGCAACACTGATCATAAGTGTTAGTAAAATTTAAAATGAAACGTCACAGCATGAGTTTAGAATGCAGCATCAGTATAAAAACTATAGATTCCTGGTAAGAGAAAAAATATTTAAAATATTGATTTATTATCTTTTGAGCCAAACGAATTATTATTTTGAAATACGGGTCAACATTTGCTAAAATACTTCCCACAAAATGAAAAAATCTTTAAATAAAATGCATTGGATTACTCAACTTTTATGAAGGTTTCAAAATCTGTTAAACAGTTTTCACAAGCAATGCAAAAAAATTGATTAGCAGACTCTCAAAAACAACTTTTATGGAAAAGAAAATTCGATAGGCAAGCGAAAAGATAGAAAACCCATAAAAACTGCAGTTCTTCCAAAGATTTTTAGTTCCCGTTTTAGAATTAAGAGCACAATTCTGACTTAACTTGTTGTGGCGTGTGTAATGCGATGTAAGAGCTAATGAAAGAAGACAAAGTCGTACTTTGTATTTATAAGGCTTTAAATGACAGTTTGTATTACTAGCAGTCTGACACGCACATTTAATCTGCTTTATCTCATCTGCGACAAAATTTATTTTTGCCGGTGTCTTCTTGCTTAAAGAACTAATAAATAATTAAATT